TGTGGTTATTAAGGGAAATGGCACCGTTTTGAGGGGTTGATCTGAATCTGGAATATATGTAAATAGTATTCAGAAGGCTTAGAAATGTACGAAAGTCGCATAATTCTTTCAAAAATATCTCAAACTAGGAATTTCTTTCCCTATTTTTAAAGATGTCTTTTCTCTATATTGCATTATACTTTGACCTGGTACTATTGGAATCGTTTGACTACAATCTACACCATTATAACCATCTAGACATCCACCATTACAGCTACCATCAACTTTACTACAAACTGTACTGTTATTTATACAATTTCTCTCTGAACATTTATTATTACAGTTTTCACCATAGAACCCATCATCACAATCTAAATATATCAAGTTCGTTGTTAATGAAAGAGATATAACATTAAAAATAAAAGAAAATATCTTTCAATCAACCACCCTACACAACATACACTTCACACAAAGCCTGGTTTACAACCATCAAAAAATATCTACTGTTAATATTATTATATACTGTACTCACTATATTATATTTACCTTGTGTACAGTCAATTGATATGAAACCTAGTTGACAACCATCATTATAATATCTACCATTAATATTATTATATACTGTACATACTATATTATATTTACCTTGTGTACAGTCAATTGATATAAAACCTGGTTGACAACCATCAATATAATATCTACCATTAATATCAATATTTACTGTACTCACTATATTATATTTACCTTGTGTACAGTCAATTGATATAAAACCTGATTTACAACCATCATTATGATAACTACTATTGATATTATTATATACTGTACTCACTATATTATATTTACCTTGTGTACAATCAATTGATATAAAACCTGGTTGACAACCATCAATATAATATCAACCATTCATATTATTATATACTGTACTCACTATATTATATTTACCTTGTGTACAGTAAATTGATAGAAAAACTCTGGTTGACAACCATCAATATAATATCTACTATTAATATTATTATATACTGTACTCACTATATTATATTTACCTTGTGTACAGTCAATTGATATAAAACCTGGTTTACAACCATCAATATAATATCTACCATTAATATTATTATATACTGTACTCACTATATTATATTTACCTTGTGTACAGTCAATTGATATAAAACCTGGTTTACAACCATCAATATAATATCTACCATTAATATTATTATTTACTGTACTCTCTATATTATATTTACCTTGTGTACAGTCAATTGATATAAAACCTGGTTTACAACCATCAATATAATATCTACTATTAATATTATTATATACTGTACTCACTATATTATATTTACCCTGTGTACAGTCAATTGATATAAAACCTGGTTTACAACCATCAATAAAATATCTACCATTAATATTATTACATACTGTACTCACTATATTATATTTACCTTGTGTACAGTCAGTTGATATAAAACCTGGCTGACAACCATCAATATAATATCTACTATTAATATTATTATATACTGTACTCACTATATTATATTTACCTTGTGTACAGTCAATTGATATAAAACCTGGTTTACAACCATCAATATAACATCTACCATTAATATTATTACATACTGTACTCACTATATTATATTTACCTTGTGTACAGTCAATTGATATAAAACCTGGTTTACAACCATCAATATAATATCTACCATTAATATTATTATATACTGTACTCACTATATTATATTTACCCTGTGTACAGTCAATTGATATAAAACCTGGTTTACAACCATCAATAAAATATCTACCATTAATATTATTACATACTGTACTCACTATATTATATTTACCTTGTGTACAGTCAGTTGATATAAAACCTGGCTGACAACCATCAATATAATATCTACTATTAATATTATTATATACTGTACTCACTATATTATATTTACCTTGTGTACAGTCAATTGATATAAAACCTGGTTTACAACCATCAATATAACATCTACCATTAATATTATTACATACTGTACTCACTATATTATATTTACCTTGTGTACAGTCAGTTGATATAAAACCTGGTTTATAACCATCAATATAATATCTACCATTAATATTATTATATACTGTACTCACTATATTATATTTACCTTGTGTACAGTCAATTGAAATAAAACCTGGTTTACAACCATCAACACAGGTGCCATTCATACTGTCACAATTTTGATTCTGTAAACAATTTCTATCTGTACACATTTGCGAACAATCTTTGCCGTAAGAGGCTTCGGGGCATTCTGAAAAAATATCATCATATTCAAATAATTAATTGACTTGATACACATATTAATTCTTGGAATGTAGTTAATTTGACTTATGGTCTAAAAAGATGTTTTATTTTACCAAATCCCTACAACAAAATTTGAATTAAACGTTTGTGCATTAATTGAACGAAAAACTCTAGATTAAGTAGTTGGTATCGAAAATCATTGGTTTGTTCAATTTGTTGTTCTTAATAATAGATTGCTACTTACGTTTTGTGCAATCAACACCACTAAAACCAGGTTTACAACCCGCTGTACAATTTCCAGTGATATGATTACATTCAGTGGAACCATTACAATTTCTATCATTACAGGATCTACAACAGTTTATACCATACATTGTCTTATCACACTCTGTAAGATGATTTAATTTTATAAATGAAAACAAAAAAATAATTACTTAGCAAAGGTTTGAGTAGTTCCGAGCAACAGAAAATTCAAAATGTAATGAAGGTTTTTTTCTCTAATGACGTGTGATATCAATAAGCAATCGAAGATTCATTAAAAACCGAAGCAGTTGTAGTAGTTAAACTTCAAATTCAGCACCCAAAAATATGAGTGAGGTTATCAATTAAAATAAGAATCATCAGCCGCAAATAACAAACTGGATTTTGGGTTGAAGCCAAGATATCACTTTTATTTCAATATTTCCAATTTCTTTTTCAAAACCAATATTTTCTCTTAATGACAATGTTGTAGAACATCTATCACAGTTACTCCTTTAAAGTTCATAAAATATATTTACGACCTAGACCTAATTACATTAAATAATTTCTACTTTGGTAGTCCATTCATCACGAAACATGCAAATAACTGTTAGTGTATATTTTATGTCAATACAATACTTACTCTGGTTACAAAGTTCTGATTTAAAACCTGGTTTACATCCACCGATACATATACCATTCATATTGTTACATTCTAGATTTAAACAGTTGTTAGAACAAAGTTGTAAACAATTTCTACCATACGTTCTAGTTGGACATTCTGTAATTATATACATGAAGATTATAGTGAGTTAAATAGTTGAAAAATGTCCGAATTAAAAAACAGACTTATTACAATAGATCACATAATAATAAGTTTTATAATATTGCTTGAACCATTCCTTTTTCAATATTCGAGTTGACCGGGTTTACTTATTTCAAAACTGCCAAAACTTTTAGTCTCTTGATAATATTCCTAAGTTTTATGAAAGGAAGTTGGAAACTTAACAAGGTTTTACGATCTAATATATAAAGCCCTATCAATTTATAGAGTATATTTAGAAATATTATTACACTTTGAAAGAAGAATCTAATAATTTTGGACAAAGTCATAAACAAAGAAATGTTATTAAATATGGATTAATAAAGTTAATTGAGAAAAGCAATAAATGGTAAGGTAGACATAAATCTAAAATAGATCTGCAACATCTTTTTGTTGGCAAGTGAATTTGAACCAGATACATTATTATCGTTGTGGAAAAGATATTTCATAGTGTTACTTTCTTCTGTAAAAAACTCGTTATTTTACCTTGTTTACAGTCTATACCATTATATCCTGGAACACAACCATCATCACATTTCCCAGTAACTAAATTACAAGTCTGCTGGGATCTCAAACAATGTCTGTCATTACAATCTTGACCACAATTCAAACCATATTTTCCTTCAGTACACGCTGAAACAAAAATCGAAATAAAACACGTGACAATTAGTAGTATCAATTTACGCTTGAATGGTGATAAAATAATAATTGCAGAGGATTTGAATTGAGTCCAACTAGTAAAGTCTATTCTTATAATTACAGATCATGTACAGTTTCTCATTGCCGAAAAGTCCTTACAA